TGTAGCACCTGACACCTCCGCCAAGATGAGTAGATCCTGTTCAAGAAGTCAAGTTGTGGCTGCGACAAATCCCCCGCCAAGTATATCGCAGAGGTCAATGTTTGACAAAATTTTGGCCCAAAGCCGAAAGGTAGCGTTGTTGAGAGTGAAAATTGCATAAACCAAGAAGTCAAATAGAGCAGTTCCCGGATTCTACAAATACAGTAATGCCTAGTTTTGGAACGTTTTGGGCCCTGTGTGGATTCACAAATGAACAAGTAACAATTTCATACCTTGAGAAGCTTGTTGCGTTCTTCAGCCAACCCGCTTAGTCTTCTCCATCGCCCTGTGACCATCTCATTCAACTCGACCACTGCTGATCTATCCGTGGATCCTTCTCGGATAAGCTCATTCGAGAGCTCATAGAAAACTCGCACAGAATCCATGTTATTCAACTGTAAGCATCCAGTTAAGGATGAAAAGACCTTCTACGCCCCTGAAAGGAAGAAAAGACAACCTCAATTCTCTTGATGAACATCTCATGGGCTTCTTGTGCCCTGAGAGCTTGTTCTAGATCAACAGGGACGGTGCTCATGACTTGGAGAGCTCGCTCTTCACGGTCAAATACGGCGACTATTTCACGGACGACATTACGAATCTAGATTGAGCTCACATCAGTTCCAAAAATCCAAGTGAGTGCTTTAGGAAGCTGTCAAAGTGAAACAGTCACTTACCCGCCCCAACTTTCGTGACCCTTCGATCCGGTAGGATGTCTCCGCAGCATACTGAAAGAACTCGTGTATTAAGCGGAATTTGACTATTCTATGCAACAAAAGTACCCTATCTATGGTGCAAGATACAACCCCTACCTCGTGCTGTATAGGTGTGTACGCAGGACTGCAGCGTTTTGTGCCACAAGCACGAAAGATTCAAAAAAAGTAGACAAACGCACCTGCATAACTTGATGTTCGGCCACTTCAAGAATCTTCAAGTTCTCTCTGATCAAGTCGGTCACACTCTTTCCTTGCCTAGTTCGTAAGTCAGAGAAGCCGTTACCATGAATAGACTGAAAGAAAGTTATCAATGAGTGGAACAGAAATTGCATAAGCATACCAACTAACCTGCAAAACCTCCT